TCCCAGGGACGCCAGCTGTGGAGACCCACTCACATGTCTTACTGTCCTGTTTCCCTAGTATCCAGAACCTCACACACTGTGTGTCTGTGTTCTCAGTGCGGATGTCTGGGACTGGGTTTTCAGCAGCCCTGGGCTCCCTCTCCCTCCCTGCTCTGACTCCTCTCCTCCCACCGTGAGCTGGGGTGAGGGACACTCGGGTCCCGCCGGGCTGGGGCTTATATCTTACCCCCTTCTTGAGGCACTGGGTTCTCGCAGGTGTGGATGTAGTCTGGCTATTGCCCTGTGTCTTCTGGTCTCTCTTTTAGGAAGAGTTGTCTTTGTTGTATTTTCAAAAATATATGTGGTTTTGGGAGGGGATTTCCACTGCTCTACTCATACCGCCATCTTGACTCTGCCTCCTGTGCATCTGTTTTTTAAAGAACAGGCATATCACAATGTATGTCTATAAAATAAAGTTTTTCAAAAGTCAAATTGTAGAACAGAGTACAGAATATGTTAATATTAGCATTTAAAAGGGAAAAAGTCATGGATATTGTATTATTTACCCTAGCTGCCATAACAGATGGGGGCTGGGGGGGAGCGGCTTGAACAACAAAAATTATTTTCTCACAGTCTGAAGTCAAGAAGTGTAGAATCAAGTTGTCAACAGGATTGGTTTCTTCTGTAGTCTGTCTTGGTTTGTAGATGGGCACCTTCTCTTATAATGTCACATGGTCTCTCTTCTGGGTCCTAATCTCATTTTATGAGGACACCAGTCATATTGGATTACGGTCCACCCTAATGGGCTTATTCTAATTTAATCACCTCTTTAAAGGCCCTGTCTCTACACCCAGGTACATTCTGAGGTACTGGGGGTTAGGCTTCAGCATAGGAATTTGAGGGAAACACATTCAGCCCCATAACAGGTAGATAGGGGTGTGAGTGTGCACACTAAAACTCATCAAATTATATGATTCAAACATGTGACGTTTATTTTGTAAGTTATACCTCAATGAATGTATAAAAAAAGGAAAATAATATATATTTATATTTAATATATATGCATAAAAGAGTGGTTACCTTTTGCAGAAGAGGTAGGCACATAGTTTAAAAAATGGGACTTTGAAGATATGTAAATGTGCTACTGATTCAAAATAATCACATAAATACATGTCATTTAGACATTGGTAAGATACTACCACCAAGCACTTTGGGAGTTAGGGGAGACAGTTGTGAGTTGAGGTCAGTGATGAGATACAGACATGTGTAACTCTGGGTGGAGAATCCTGGGGCAAAATACCTTTGAAACTGAAATCAGTCAGAGGGAGAAATAAAGTGGGAGAAACCCATTTATTTCTTACATGCAGTCATCCCACATCTCTCTTCACTGAGCTGCAGAAGAAGAGGCCCCACCCAACCTCTCCCATCCAGATATGCCTTGTTCACCCTTGTAATTACCTACTGACATGGAGATGGACTACCTCTCTCTACCCCTTGGAAACACCTATTGATATGGAGATGCACTAATGCCAGGCGAGAGATTCTGGAAATATTGCGGTTTTACCCACAGCATGCAAAACTCTTCTCACAAGTTCTACTACTCTATGGCGAATTTATCTTACCTAAGATGAGTTATAGAATTTATCTTTGTTCAAGACTGTGAGCCATAGCTTTGGCTGCATCATTCCTCATATTTATTTTGTAACTCATCTACTGACTAAAATTTTACTATTTCATATTTTTACTTTTCTTGTCCAGATGCTCTTACAATAAGAAAATTAAAAAATTTACTTTGTTATTATAAAACATAGCTATATTCAAATGCAAATCATAATTTTCAGAAAAATGTTGGTTTGAATTAATTGCTTTAATTAATTACAGTTCTACATCTTTATCCAACCCTCATTTGCTTCCTAACTTCAGTCAGCTTTGGGGGAGTTTGCAGGTCATAGGACCAAGTCTAAGTTTGGCCCTCAATAGTTATAACCCAAATATCCATTAGTCATTAGATTAAATACTTGAAGAATAATTTGGACATCTTAGTGAACTTTGGTACAGAAAATTGTTCTGAATATATTTTCATCAGAAGATTTCCTCAGTTAATGCATTCCATGCAGCTTTTGAAAATGCTTTAAATTCAAGCTGTGACAATTGAATTTTAGGAAAATAATACTGGTTTGTAGTTTTCATAAGATATGCTGTTTTATTATTTAATTTGAGGGAGATTGTAAAGGTAGCAAACTTTATAAAGTGAAGTTCAAAATTCATTGTAAAGTCTACTTTCTTGTCCCTAGGCATTGCTGATCTGTTCTTAATATAAATGGAGGACAGTGCCAGCACTGAATTTGGGCATTGTATAAAGATGTCACAGGGTGCTGGCTGACACTCCAGGATAGAGCTCACAGGTTATGGGTGCCCTCAGGAATGCCAGATAAAAATTTATTTTGTGCTGTAGTACTTTGATTATGGAGATTCCATGGGCCATATTCAGGCTCTAAAATTCAAATTTAGAGATGGTCGAGGGAGCTGTTATTTTACCCTCTATCTATCAAGTCCCAGTTTAAAGTCTTAATACTAGTAAACTACGGGGTCTGATTAATAATAACAACACACCAGCTTTGAGACCTTGGGAAAAATAACTTCCATGAACCTTATTTTCCCCAATTAAGAGGGCTGTTGTAAAGATCAAAAAATATATGTGTATCTCCATGTAGTACTTATAATACATAGGTCCACACTGAATACTGGTCCCATACCATATCCTGCAGCCATGCCTAAGTGTAGTCTGCCTAACCAAGTACTCTCACTTGATTAAAAAGTATGTGATTGTCAAACTATATTTTCAGAGAATGATGAAGAACAGGAGGCACTGCCATCTCTTGATAAACCCGGCTGGTACTCCCAAGGAAATGCCGTACACCTTTATGAACTTCTGAAGAAAATGACTGGCAAACCTGAACCCAAGGTATTTTCTGATTGAGGTGGAGTCCTTGGTGCTCACTTACAGACACAAACCATTATAAATTAAAACCGTAATCCTAAATGCATTCGTCTTAGTTATCTACGGGGAAATTATCTGCCTCTGCCTATCTACCAATCTCTATTACTTCTGCTTTAAATAAGCTTTTCCTTTGTTGATGTGGTCTGGATCTTTATCCATAACAGAAGAGCAAGGGTTCTAAGCAGGGACTACAGATCTAAGTAGGATGCACTGGATTCGTGCGTGTGATACCTGAGAATGATATTCCAAAAACATTCCATCAAAAAAGTTTTTATATAAAACAAGCAATGACTGAAATTACATTACAGCCAAGCCTAAAGACACACTTGCTTTTGACATTCTGGCCATGGTGTTGATATTGACATTGGTGCATTCTTAACAACTGGACCTTTTCTTGTAAAATGTTTGTCAGGAGCTCCATGAGCAGGAGAGTTTGGTGGGTAACTGAGTCCTGCTCCATTGGCTCTCACACTACCACAGTCCCCTGGGAACTCCTGAGGTGTTCAGTGGGCAGAGCATCCTGACTTGGAGGTTCTAGTTATTTCATAGCTCCTTAGCCTCTTTTTCTCATCTGTAAGTTGAGGGATGTGGACTGTATCAATGGGGCTTTGTCTCAGAAAACTTGGGGAGCTTGCCATAGTCCACTTGTCAACTCTCACAGATTCTCTTTCACCAGATCTGGGCGGGGCCCAGAACTTCTCTGGAAAAGCAGTTACAACGTGCACACCTGTTAATCTAACGCACTGTAGTAAGTTTCTTAAATCTCGCCAGTTCTTCAGTTCTAGTAGCCTGTTTAAACTGGGAACATATGGACTCTCACTCCTTCAGAAAATTTAATAAAATCACTTATTCTCTGCCTTTCTTCTACCTGTAAATGCATTGTATAACTTCTTAGAACAAACCTGACACCATGCAAACCAAATAAGGGAAGTCAATGCTAACCTGAGAAGTTACTCAAGGAAGTTTAAGGTGTTTATGCAACTTTGTCTTACTCTGATACCTGGTGAAGAATTTTCATCTGCCTTTTGTGAAATGAACACCACAGATTCTCATGCTTAAGGCAGAATTTGCTGTCTGACTTTCAGGTTGTTTACTTTGGTGATAGCATGCATTCAGATATCTTCCCAGCCCGTCATTACAGTAACTGGGAGACAGTCCTTATCCTGGAAGAGCTCAGAGGGGACAGAGATGGGAAGCCTGAGGAATCAGAGCCTCTAGAGAAGAAAGGAAAATATGAGGTAAGGGTACCCTTCAGCTCTTCCCTTAAGAGAAAAACCTTTATGTTTGACTATCTTAGAAAGTACTTGTTTGTGCCAAGACCAAGGAAAACTACTGGCACTTGCTGTCATCTTGTAGGCTTCTCAACTCTATAGTTGATCTGGTTGATAATTTTTGAATGATGCCAAGATAAAGCTGACCATCTGTCTGTCTTCCCTGCCCTCTGCATTGGGGCATCACAGATGCTTTTTGCTGAAACAGCTAGATCCTGACTCACTGTAATTGTTCTCCATGCTTTTTTACTTGGCAACAAAAGCTCTTGTGCTCTCTCTCCATGAGTCTGTTTTAACTAAATTGGTGGCTCCTTTCGACTTATTCCTGGGCTGCCTAGAATGAACTTAGGTGAAGACTTAAGATAAAGAAAAGTAAAATATGTCATACATCTAGAAAAGGAAAATAGCATATAAAGCAAAAAATGCAGAAAGGAAGGAAGATCAAAGAATAAAACATATTTTTCTAAATACCAGAACAATTATAAAGAAGGAAAACCCCATCAAAAAGCAAACATCAAATCAAAAAATAATGATAAAAAGACATGAGCTATCACTCCAGAAAAAGATACAAAGGAACCTTAAATGCATTTTACTGAGTGAGAGAAGCCAGTCTGAAAAGGTCACATACTATATGATTCCAACATGACATTCTGGAAAAGGCAAAACTATAAAGAGTAAAAGTGGGTGGTGGGGGTTCAGGGATCACGGGGATGAATAAATGGAGCACAGGAGATTTTTAAGGTGGTAAAACTATTCTGTATGATACGGTAATAGTGGATATATGACTTTCTGTATTTGTCAAAACCCATAGAACTGTGTGACATAATTATGAACCCTAATGTAAACCATGTAATAATACTGTATCAATATTGGTTAATCAGTTGCAACAAATGTACCAAACCAATTGATGCAAGATGTCAATAATGGGAGAGATGGGGGGGTGCAGAGGAGGGGAACATATATATAAGAACTCTTCATACTATGTCTCTATTTTTTTGTAAATGTAAAGTTATTCTAAGAAAATTAAGTCTGTTTATTTAAAAGTAGTAATAACTGTAAGCAGACCAAACAAAATGGTCAAATAAAGGAATCAGGATTTCTATGCCATTTCCACTGAGTAACATTTAGTTTTCAACATGACATTAGAAGTTCTTTGGACTCTGAGTTGAGAAGAGTTTTAAAACAACCTATTAAATGTCAGACCTTCTAACCTGAGTGACTTTGGAGAAGGTTTTCACTAAAGAGAAATTAGGAGATAAGGTTTCTTCAAAATTATGTGAGAATGTATGTACAGTAATAAAATGAAGAATCCATGGGAAGGCTTCCTCCAGCATTACCTGGACAGTAGCCCCATCCTATTCCCACAGACCCCTTTTCTCTTGTTAGTTACAAACAATTTCACAAAAAGTTAATAATTAGTTAATAGTAGGTTCTTGACAGGAAATATGAATCACACAGCTTGAAGGTTCTATTTCCTAAGAGAGAATTGAAATAAATAATGTTCCTCCCTTACCAGACTCCACTTCCTCAACTCACTCTTCTCCTTGCAAGGAAGCAAGGAATGGGAGGGTTTGGCCAAGTAACAGGATTAGAATAAAGCCTTAGAAGGTTCTACTTTACCCTGACCTCTCTTTCCATGTCTCATACTGTTGAGATTCCAGGAAAAGTAGAGTTGTGAAGATGGATTCCCCTGTCCACTTGGGGTCCGAGGCAAGTGTTTTACTACAGGATTCCTGGCTGTGGCCTAAAGTATTACATTTAAAAAGCAAAGTATCCTGATACTACTTGACTAAAATTTTCCTGGTCAGACTGAATACCGTCATGTGTCTGTAATTTGTTTTTGAGGCAGTGTTTTTATCGATGGTCCCATCCTTAGCCGATGATTCAGGCCAACAGTTGTTTTATCTGCTTTAAGGAAAGTCCTCTTTCAGACATCTTTTCTGCTTATATTTAAAGGCAGATTATGAATAATTTTAAAACAATGATGTGATTTTTTCAGAAGTTACCTTTTGGTACAAACATAGAACCACAACTTCTAAAAGTCAGACTGCTTTCATATTTAAGTTGAGGTTTGTCTCTCTGCACACACTTCTTCTGTCCGTTTATCAAGGCCAATCATAAGTACAGCATGTGGTGGGGATTCTGATTTTTTCTTGATTCCCTGGGTGGAGACAAGAAAACAAACATCCTCAATTGCTGCAACAGGAGGGAAACAGCCCGTAATGAAAGCTAAACACAAAGCATCACCTGAGGGTTCTTCTGTTTATTTTGTGATCATTAAGAAAAACATAGTTCAGTTTTCTAACCAGATGTCAAGCACAGAACATATATGATATTCTGTCTTTTGGTGAGTATAAAGCCTGAATGCAAAGGGATTTAATTTCATATTTCTGGTTACTTTTCAGCCTAAGTGAACTTTGAACAGTGTAACTAAAAACCAAATTGACCAGGTCATTTCAGGACTGACAGAGTGAACCAGAACATTTACACTTACAGCATTCTGTGGAAATCAGCATTTTGTTTCACTTGGGCTTCAATTCAGTTTCTCATATATATTTAGAGTAACTTCCATCCTAGATAAAACTATCTGGACTGTGGAAATCACTTCTACCCCAGTTCATTTGGGACCTGTTTTTTGTGATGAGGACAAAACACATCTTTTACATGGCTTCAAAGGCTTATACAAGAAACTTTTTCTAAAATCTGAATGTATTTATTGATTACCCACTCACCTATATTGGAACATGACAGATAAGCAAAAATGGCACATTTTGATATTAAATTAAGGCTAGTTAAGGATGCTAAGGAAGAATTATTTGTTTTCATTTATCTCTGTTACCAGAAATAAATCAAAAGTCACTTCCTTAATCTTGTAATTACTTGAACAGTTGTAATTTCGTAAGACTAGCCTCCTGTTTAGAAAAAGGAAAGGGAGCTCTTCCCTAGCTTCCTTCATAATAATCTCATCTGTTTCTTATTTTAGCACAAAATAAAAATGTGTTCTTGGGCTTTTAAAATAAAGTATTCTTTGCAGCTATGTAATTTTCAGTTTTACCTGTAGCAATAGTAGGTATTTAAATAACGCCATTATGGAGACATTTTCTTTCACTCTCCTCATAAAGGGTATAATGAGTTTGGGGTTACAGTCTTCTTTCAAATTACTTTCTATGAGATATTTTCAATTGGTGAAGTTTTTTCTCAAGGTTCTTCTACAGTCAGGCTTCTCAATAAAACTAAATTACAAATTAGGTAGAAGAAACTGGTATATTCAGTGTTTTTTCTTCTTGAAAACTTCTTTACATTATGGTCAGTGGCCATGGCACTGTTCATACACACATTGATATATATACATATTATATGTCATCGAGATTGTAAATGAAACACTTCAGACTCATGAAACTATGAAGAAACAAATCCATATACACTTTAGCTTATATATGTATAATATCCTCTCCTATATATATATATGTCATTAAGTCTACTCACACTGTGGGAGATTTAGTAGGTTGTGTGTGTGTGTGTGTGTGTGTGTGTGTGTATACATAAATTTCAGAACAATATTCAAAATTTTTATTCACAAGTATCAGACTTAAGGGTTTATTGGATTAGCAGAGATATCTTAATAAGGCCATTCATTTTAAACAGCCGTCTAACACCATTCTCTTGTTCAACATATATATATATACTAAATTTTTTAATCTACCAATGTTTACAGAGCCATAATCTACATATAGTATGTGTGATGTGAGTCATTAATTTCAGACTCATTATTTTAGAAAATGAATTAAATAAAAAAATCTTTTTTATAAATTGCTCCTTAAACCTTGAGAGATTATACTTAAATACACCTTAAATGTACATATAGGACCATAGGCATTCATGTTAATAGGGCTCTAAATATATTTGGTGAAATCAAAAATAGATTCTTGCTGAGTGATTCTCAAACACATACTCACAAAATTAATCTAAACACATATATTCTTTTTTTTCTTTTTTGAGAGGGCATCTCTCATATTTATTGATCAAATGGTTGTTAACAACAAGAAAATTCTGTATAGGGGAGTCAAAGCTCAATTCACAATCATTAATCCACCCCAAGCATAATTCTCGTCACTCTCCAATCTTCTGAAGCATAACGAACAAGTTCTTACATGATGAACAAATTCTTACATAGTGAATAAGTTCTTACATGGTGAACAGTGCAAGGGCAGTCATCACAGAAACTTTCGGTTTTGATCACGCATTATGAACTATAAACAGGTCAAATATGAATATTCGTTTGATTTTTATACTTGATTTATATGTGGATCCCATATTTCTCCCTTTATTATTATTATTATT